ATTTTTAAAAGATTATTTTTTGCCTTAATAAAAAGTGGAGGAATATTCCCCCCTCCTCCTTTTATTTAAATAAATACTATTATTTAACGTCATTAATTTCAAAAATCATTTTTGTTGTTAAAACAAAATTATTATATAAATATATCCGTAAATACAATAATAAATTCATTTCTCGTTTATTTTAAACATTTTGACTAATGTTTTCTCTCCTTTAAAAATTTCTCTATAATTCTTTTTGCTATTTTTAAAAAATATCCTTTAAAACATTACATACAGACTCCGATTTTAGATATATCCTTGAACTCGAAAAATTTTATCTAAAAATTTTAAATTGAAGGTATCGCTCAGGCAGAACTTCCCACCGGTTGACTTTAAATTATATATCTTACTTTAACTAAGATGTACATATGTAATTTTAAAGGCATTTAAAAGAAAGTTACGCTTATAACAGATTCTTACAGATTCACAGTCAGTGTTTATAAGCTCTACCAAAATTCGTACTCTTAGGTACAAAATACGAGTACGAGCAAAAAAATAGGCTGGTACCGAGTATGAGGTGCGAGGCCAAAATTAGGGGTGGTACAAAGTACTGGTACGAGCAAAATTGAAATTTATGTTTATAATTCTTCCTAAAACTTATTTTTATTCTCCCCGGTTTATTTTCCTTCTGTACAAAATAAGGCTTTAATTATTTTATTTTCAAACTTTTTTAAAAACATCTTTAATGGCCTGTTAATTTATACATTCAATACAGATAATTATAATAAAAAAAATTTTTTTAATTATGTATATAAAATTATAAACATCATTTTCATCGTATTATTAATTCTATTCGCTCCAATTTATTGCTTCCCTCCCCCGCGCAAAAAATAAAATATTAAAAGCTTGCTAATGTATAGGCATTTACTCTTTTAAATTAAGGGATAGATAATGGACTTCTTCATTTAAAAATTTTTAAAACAAAAAGATTATTAAAATGTCAAACGAATGACGAGCGAATTAATGCATATAACTTTTTAATTTTTTATTGTAATTTTAACAAAAAAAATTTTCCTTAATTTTCACAAATAGTAGATATTTCAGATTTTCGTTTAGAAAGAGTTTAGCAAAAGCTAGCCCCCGGGCAGGATTCGGACCTGCGACCTCCTCGTAGTTATTCGCTCACCACATACAGGAGCTCTACCACCTTTTAGATCGTTTAACCTCCGCCTAAGCGTTTTAAATGCTCTAGGTGAATCATCCTTACAGTTTTAAGTAAGTTAAATCAACTAAATATTACAAAATTTATTCCAAAAACTTTTACGATTAAAGAAATTATTTATAGTTTTAAAATTTGAAGGTTTATAAAATAGAGGGATGACTAAAAAATGTTATTTAAAATTAATTTCTAAAAAATTAAAAAAGATTAGAAATTAATAGACCATTAAAAATATTTAGAAAAAAACCAAGTTTGGAAATAAATTAAAACATTAAAATCTGTCAATTGTTATTTTTGAAAAAAAAGTTTCTTCCTCCTTAATTCAAATAATGTTTATAAAAATTAATTTAAATTAATTTTCTTTTTTTATTTTTAATTGGGAACACTCAAAATAGAAATTCCCTTTTAGTAAAATAAAAATTAATTGCCATTACCATAAAAATATTTATAGTAAATTCTTCACTCTTTTTGCGTTCATATTCATCCATCATTTGGATTTTTTTTATTTTTTTAAAATTAAATCCTCTATCTTTTTTTTCATTTTTTATATTTATAATTTTTAAGATATTAAAGATTTTATTTATTTTCTCGTTAATTCAACTAAATTATTCAACAAATTTATATTATTCATAAATAAATGGATACATTGTTTTCACCTTCTCGGCGAAGTTGGACTATTGGAAATTTTAAGTAGGAATTTAAAAAAAAAAATTATTTTTATTCAAAAGACAGTTACTATTTATTCTGTAAATTACTAACCTTTTAATTAGGGTTGTTGGCGGGTCAGTTAACCGAACCGAAAACCGGGGGTCGTAAACCGGCCATAACCGAAAACCAAGAGTACCGGTTTTAACCCACATTTTAATTGAAAATATTTTTTAATTTATTTTCAATTAAGAAAACTTACTTCCCCAAATTCAAATAACCTTCAAAATTATGAGAAATCCAAAAATATTATTAACGACGATGAAAATTCATATGAAAAGGGAATATTAAAAAGAGGGGGCAGAAGAAGTATTTTAAAGAGGGTTTCGACTTGTGAAGAAATTGATGATTTAAATAAACAAAATAAGGAAGTAGAATCTGTACAAAAGTCAAAAGAAATAATACAAAAAGATAATGGAAATAATGGAATAATAAAAACACGTAGTGCGGGTGGAAATAAAAGAAAAGTTTTGCTTAGAAAGGTAAAAGAAAAAATATTTTTTGAGGATTTTATCCAAAATTTAATGTAAAAGGAAGGATACTCTTGAAAATATAGTTCCTAGTAGGGATGGGACGGGTTACCCGATACCCGGACTTTTTTCGACCCGAAACCCGATCCGAAGAAAATTTTGAAAACTCGACCGACTTTTTTCTCAATCCGTCCCATCCCTGGTTCCTACCAAAAATATGAAATCTGTCAGAAAAAAATATCAAAAAGCCTAGACTTTTCTTCAGTTGGAACTGAAGATAATATTAAGATCCTCTAATACTTGGACTATTCAAAATTTTAAATAAAAATTCTTAATTTTTTACCTTTTCCTTAATTTCACTTTAAAATTGTCCAGAATTTTTAAAAAATTCACTCATTACTTTATAGTAAATTATTTTTTGCAGTTAAGTCAAGCAGCACTAGAAGAAATACGTTCAAGAATGATTAAATTTAGTGAATATGTTGAAATCAGTGAAATAGAAAAATATGACAGAAAAGGGGATAAACCTTGGAAAAGAATAACGCCGGAACAAAAAGAACAAATTAAACGAGAACTTAATGATTTTAAAGCAGAAATGGATGTGCATGAAATGGCACGAAGATTTACTCGTTTTCATAAAGAATAAATGAGAAAAAAAATAAAAAATATTTTTTTAAAAATCTGACAATATTTATTTTTGTCTTTCAAAATGTGTCCAAAATTATCTCAATTTATAAACACATTTACCCAAAGAGTTTAGATTTTAACATTTTAATACTCCAAACTAAATTTAGCTTAAATAACCAGATCAACTGTAAAGGGATTAGGCCAGTCAACGACAATGCCATAACTAAATTAAAAAATCGTGTCGACGTAGAAAACCCACGGACAAAAGACCCAAAAGCATTTTTCTACAAGCGCCTCGCCTAAGCCCATAGGTTTACGTTTTGTGCCTTAACTTTGTCAATCTTGTTCTTCTAAACTTTTAGCAAAAATTTTTTGATTTTGGGTCTTCTGTCACTACGCCTTAAAAAATATAGCAATTCTTGTCTTATCAAACCCGAACTATCATGCTAACAAAAGAACCAATATTCCCGTAATGTTTTATAAAAATTAAAATAATTTTACAAAAAATTGTTAATATAATATCTATAACATTTAAAAATATTTTACATATTATTGATATTATTCTAATAAAATTATTGAGGGAAAATACAATTTAAAGCCTCATTTAAAGTAATTGCTGTAATTCCCCAAATTACTCGTCTTTTTGGGGCGCGTTCTTCAGTGCTAGAGGGAACAAGAGGTATCACATTTTCAACAACAAAAACAGGCAATTTATAAAAGAATGGAAGACCACCACGGAGTGGAGCTTTCATTCTAACAAAAATTATTAAATTTAAAAGTTATTCAAAATTACCTAAATGAGGTAAAACGTCTTTGATCCAAAAGTTCGGAAAGAGAAACCAAAAAGACACCCTGAACCTCATCTTCTTGAAGAATAAGTTTAGAACACAAGGAAGTTGAGGAAGGGCAGTCAGTCAGGGAAGAAACAAAAGGAGTCGTCACTCCACTCGAATTACGAAAAAGAATTGGCGGTAATTCGCCCCAAACTTTCTTTAAAAATTAAAATAATTTAGGCAGATTATTTAATTTTAAAGAAAACCAAATATTCCCCTCGCAATCCAATTTCCTCTTCCACTTCACGCAGTGCCGCTTCCTCGAGAGACTCGCCTGGTTCTACCGCACCTTTCAAAGATAAATTGAATTAGTTTTATGGCATAAAGTCAGGCCAAGGAAATTTTTCCAAGAGAACTAACCCAAGCCTAGTCCCATACCAAAAACCCCCCAAAATATCTTTAAAATTCTCACCACCAGGAACAGAAATTTCATTGGCATGTTTCTTCATCTTTGCCGCTCTGTGTGTCAATAGAACATAAGTACCAGCTTTTTCTTTCCCGCCATTCGGAAAATCAACTAAAATCACCATTGTTGCAAATTTTCTAACACCCGTGGAAGGTGGAGTTAATAAAGGATTTAATTCATTTTGTAAAGTTGGTTGTGGAATAAATTTTCGAAAATTTTCTCGTCGAGCAAATAGAGGTTCACAAGTTGTTTTGGCATTTGAAAATGACTGATAAATAAAGTGGAAAGGGAAAATTGTTCTATTACGAAGAATATGCCTCATCAAAAAATGTATAAAAAACAATTAAGTGAAATTTAAAAATATATAATGAAAAATAACAGAAAATATAGAGAAGAAAAAATAATTAAAAATTTAATTTAAAAACAAATAAAAAAATAAATACTTGAACGCTATTTTGTCTTTTTCTGAGTTGTCTTCTTCCCACGACTAACTCCAAGAAGATCAAGTAAAGGTTCAGCCATCTAAATAAGAATAACTAGATAAAAATAAATTAGTTATTAAAAACAACCTTTTTAATAGAAACGATTTTTGGGCCTATTTGAGACAAACGTTGTTCTTTCCCTTTAATATCACTCAATAAAGCGCTTTTTCGCCCTTCTAGCTCATTTAAATTTGATAGCAAACTGTTAAAAAATGAAGTAAATATTAGGTCAATACGGATCCGTAACCAAGATTTTGGGGAGGGGGGGATTTCGCCTGGTTACGAGCCTGGATCGGTAAATATTATGTCAAATAGGAGATAAAAACCTAAAGCAAACTTATAAAAATTTAAATTAAAAAAATTGCCAGATTTGGTTAGTAATAATGTACAAAAAGAATATGTTAACCCCTGAATAGAATTTAGAAAAAACCTTTTCCGTTCATTTAGCTCATTATTTAATCGTTGCAAAAATAATTGATGATCGTCTAATTTTTCTTCTTTATCGTGGTTGTCTATCATTTCTTTAGAGTTTGAAGATGATTCCTCAGCATTAACCAATTCAATGTCATAAATATCCGCTCTTTAAAATTAAAAATATTATTTCTGGTGGAAAACGTTGGGGAGGATAAAATTATAATTTCATTACTCAGTCTAATTAAAAATATTTACTTAATTAAAAAACTCCAAACCTAAAATCTAAACAAGTTTCAATATTCTTTTTCATATGAGCAATTTCACTAGAAACATTTTGAAGAGACAAATAATGATCTTCGACCTTTTGACGAACTTCAGCCAACTTTGTATTTGCTTGTTTATTTCGAAAAGCAAAAAGACGATTCATATTACGTAATTTAACAGCCAAAATCAAAGCAGAGCTAAAAATTAAAGAAATATAAAATAAATTTAAAAAATATTTAAACCTTCTTTCATGACTTGATTTGCTATGTGTTGGATGTTTATCTTGATTTGAACTCAAATTAGAGCGTATTTCTGCAAGTATTTTCCTCACATCATCACAAATTTTATCAGTATCCAAATGCTTACTTAGTTCATCTTCAAGTTTAAAAAAATTCTAAAAAGTTTGGGAAAATACAAATAAAAATATTGAATGTTTTTACCCTCAATGAAGCAGAAGATAAAGCATTATGTTTTGATTTGCTGCTACTTTTAGATCTTTTTGAATTTGAAGGAGCCATAGAAATAATAAAATTAAATAGAAGCAATACCTAAATAAAAAAGTCTAAAACAATAAAAATTAAATAATAAAAAATTTGACAGATGGTGTATTGACATTTTTAAATAATTTAGTTGTCTGGTATTATGTAATTTAACAGATTGAAATGTTATAGAGTTAGACAACGAGAAATAGTACGTAAATTATTAAATTAACACTTTGAAAATAATTTTGTCTTTTTTGTGGGAACGAGACTATTGAGTACCGCCGATTGAGTACCGCCGGTTGAGTACCGCCGTTTGAGTCCCTGCCCAGTTGAGTCCCGGCCGGTTGAGTCCCGCTGGTTATATATGAATAACTTTCCAACGAGGGGAAAGTTGTTCCAACTATGGGAAAGGTTGGACCAACATTGTGCAAAGTTGTTCCAACAGCGGGGAAGTTGTTCCAATGTTGATGCTGGTTGTTCCAACTATTGAGAAAGTTGTTACAACTATTAAGAAAGTTGTTTCGTCAACTGGGAATGTTGTTCCGACACCAGGGGATGTTGTTCCAAGAACGGGGAAAATTGTTCTAAAGTCGAGAAAAGTTGTTCCAAAGTCAGGGAAAGTTGTTCCAGAGTCAGGGAATGTTGTTCCAAAGACAAAAAAATTTAACCAGCGGGACTCAACCGGCCGGGACTCAACTGGCTAGGGACTCAAACGGCGGTACTCAACCGGCGGTACTCAAACGGCGGTACTCAACCGGCGGTACTCAACCGGCGGTACTCAATCGGCGGTACTCAATAGTACCCCACCGCTTTTTTGTTTTCTTTTTTTTTATTTTTTTTCTTGCTTTTTATTTTGAAAAATTTCTAGATTTATGACTCATAATTTTTCTTTTTTATTTAGTGTTTATTTTATTAACTAACTAATTTAAAGGGTTATTCTTAAAAAAATGTCAGTTTCATGGGGCACTCAATATGCTAAATTGAAAACAAATCTTCGTCTAGCTGCAAATAGATTGAGATTGCTTCAAAAGAAGAAAACTGAACAAGCAATTAAAGCAAGGACAGAAATAGCCGAATATTTAAATTGTATAATTAACCGAAATTAAAAAAATATTTTTCAAATTTTAGCTGATAAAGAAGACCGTGCACGTATACGTGTTGAGACCATTATAAGGGAAGACTTTGTTGTTGAAGCTTATGAATTGTTAGAAATGTGGGTTTATTTAGTTATTTTTGTGAATTTCTAAATATTTTTTAAGGTATTGTGAGTTGCTTTTAGCCAGATTTGGGATTATCCAACAAATGAAGTCCGAATCTTTTAAAATTAATTGTGTATTTATTTATTTTTAGAGACCTTGATGATGGCATTGCCGAAGCAGTAAGCAGTCTTTTGTGGGTAGCTCCTCGATTTGGACATGAAATTTCTGAGTTCAAGGTTATTCCTTTAATTTTCAATTAATTAATTTTGTTTTTATAGGCAATTAGTGATGAATTAACGCACAAATATGGCAAGCAATTTGCAGAGGCTGCCAGAATGAATCAATTGCCAGAGCCAAGCAGAGTTTCACCAAAGTTGGTTCAAAAATTGTCGGTCAATGCTCCATCAAAATTACTTGTCGAAAAGTTTGTTTTTAATTCTATACTTTGAAGATTATTTATTTTTAGGTATTTAATCACAATTGCTCAATCTGCCGGTATTGATTTTACACCTGACCCTAAGGTTATGCGAGATGATGACGACGAAGTTGCTCGAGCTGAACGCAATCTCATCAACTTTATGAATGAGGTTTTTTAAAATTTTATTAAATAATAGACATGTTAAGGAGCAATATGGTTGGAATGTCAAACCAGGCGACGATCGCAATGTAAACAATGGCAGTGGACCCGGAAGCGATGGAGGATTTTCTGGTGGGAGTGGTGGAGGTAATCTCCATGCTGATAATGCTAGCACAATTTCTTCACATTTTATTGGAGGAACCACGACAGGTGGAGGCGGTATCCTTTCTAACAATAAGAATGGAGAGAATAAAACTACTCCAAATTCTTATCCTCCATTAGGTATTCCGCCTCCGGAATACGCTCCACCTCCTATGGCACCGCAGCAAATCCCTCCTGGATATGGGCATAGTCCAATTCCAAATGTACATCCAATTGTAAATGCCAATGCACCAATTTATCCACAACATCAACAAGTTATTTGCATTCTAATATTGTTTTAATATCTTGTATTTCAGCAATTTGATCATCCACACTATGAACACGTTTATGAAACAGTACCTCCTGTTGGTCCACAAGATGCTGATGAAGGTAAATTTAATTAATTTTTCTACTTTAAATTTTTTTCTTTCCCTTTTCTCCATTAATTTGTGTGTCAAATTTTTTATTACTCTTTTTAGACTTTCTTCTTCCAAAATTTCCGGAGCCGCCAAAAGGCATTCCTTCACCTTTTCATGGTAATGGCGAAACAAAACAAATGCCTCCTCATACGACGAAAAATGGTGGTGGTGGCACTGGTAATCCTAACGATGATTTGGATTTTGATGCACTTGCTCGTAGATTTGAAGAGCTTAAGAAGCGAATTTAATATAATTTTTTAAATGATAAGAAGTATGACTTATTTACATGTAACATTTTATTGTACTTATACTTACACGAATATAATTATATCCTGTATCTTTTCATAAACTCTTAAAAGAATAATTGTTTTTTGGTAAAATTTCCCGTTTATTTTTTTCATTTTTGATTGATTACACTTTGCTTCACGTGTTTTTTCAAGCAATGTTTCCTGACTTGGAATATTGTATTCCAGTTGAATCATCATCTATCCATTTCCTCAAGTTGCCAGATGAGTTCTACCAGGAAATCTTGGTTATTTTGTTAGATCTCTAAAATTGTTTATAATATTTAAATCATTTTTAGAAGCGAATATCTGCCTCTAAATCTCGCATTGTTTTTGCAGCACTTTATCTTGGCGCAGGACAGAAGGAGCAGCAAATTGTTTCAAGACTACAAACGGCATGTTCTGAAAATGTAGAATTGGAAATCTCATTCCTTTTGGATTACTTTCGAGGTACTAGAGGCGAACCTAACGACAGTTCTACTTCTATTCTAAAACCTTTGCTGGAGAATAGAAATGTTCAGGTAGGTTGATAATTTCATTCTATGCGTGTATGGAATTATTACCGATTGCCATTATGCACATGTTAAGAGAGTAATAAAAATTAATGTAAAAATGATTCCGCCCTTATATTCAGATAGGGTAGGGTTATTTGTGTAATGTCTTCTAGACTTTTTTTGAAATTCTCGCTTGTTTTTGTTCATGTTAAACGGAAAATGCTAAATTTTCCTTTAGATTTTTTATTAACCCGGTTAAGTAAGATTTGCATTTATTTATGAATTTTTAAAATCTAACTTTTAGGTATCTCTATTCCATACACCAGAAATGCGTGGTTTACTGAAATTTTTGCTGCCTGGAAGGTTAAATGAAATTATCGGAGTTCAACACATGAAGTTCTTCATTTTTGATGATTCAATAATTATATCAGGGTATTTTCTCAATTCTATATATTTTTAAAATATAAATCATTAAAGATTTTTAGAGCAAATCTTTCTGATCAATATTTTGATAATCGTCAAGACCGTTACTTGGTCGTTGAAAATTGCCCTAGACTGGCTGATTTTTTCCACTCAATTTCTACTATAATGGCAAAACATTCCATGCAACTTGACAAATTTGGCAAACTGAATTTCTCTGGATCAGCTTCCATTCACCCTTTTACAGGTTATTTTTAAATCATGAGTGTACATTTCAAGGGATTACAGGGGGACTTTTTGTACGATAATAAATTAATTTAAATTTTACTATCTTCTTTTTGATTTTTTAGGATCAAATGAAGAAATTCAAAAAAGCATTAAAACCGAAATTTTTGAATTATTTGACAAGTGCAAAGACAATGTGAATAATTTAGCAAATGATACATTTATTTATCCTTTTTTACAAATGGGTGTTTTTGATATTAAACAAGAAGTTCAATTTTTGAAAAATTTGTTTAATAAAGAGGTTTATATTTATTTTTGGATTTTATTTATTTTCTAAATTTTAAAAGGAAAACATAAAAGAAATAAATTTAATTACTGCTTACTTTAATTTATGCGATGAATATGCCGATTGGATGTTACAAAAGCGTTCCTTCTTAGTAAACATTGTTTTTGGCTCACCTCGAGTAATTTTTTAAGCTTTTCATAAAATTTTATTTTTATAGACAAATGGCTTTTATGGTGGAACTGGTATATCTGGTTCTGTTCCATTACTTTATCTGCAAAATTCACTCGACTTTATTCGAAAATCAAAAGGACAAGGATTTGAAAAGTCGCCCTTTACTTTTATGGAATGGGACAGGGATGGCTGGACTTTTCATGCAAAAGGTCTTTGGATTGACTTTTTAAATGAAAAAAGAATTGGAACGGTGATTGGATCATCAAATTATGGTACGAGTAATTTTTTACAAATTCTCCCTAACGTAAAACCAGTATTTCACTAAAGTCTAAACCAAAACCCATTTTATGTATAAATCGGAGTAACTGAAAGCCGTGGGTACCGATTAATAACCTGTCGAATCTGTTACGAGTTCAGATTTTTTTAAATATTGTGAGGATGATCTATTTAAAACGCTTAGGAATGGGTTAAACAAACAAGGATAAAAGAGAAAGCAATCATCGTTCCGGTAGCTTACGTAGGCGTTGTGTTAGCAAGGCCAGGACTCAGTGTTGTCGCAGATCGAATCCTGCTCGCTGGCTAAACTTTTGCTAAACCCTTACTATATTTATTTTAAAGGATTTCGTTCTTCTCAAAGAGATTTGGAGGCGCAAGTATTGCTTGTTACTGAAAATGACGCGCTAAAGCAAAAAATTATCGAGGTTTTAAGCTTGAATTCTTTACTATTTTTAAATATTTCAGGAAAGGCAATATCTTCTAGAACATGCTCAATCAATTGAAATTGATGCTTTTTTTAAAAGGGATATCCTTGTTTCAAATTGGGTAAAATATTTTGCAAGAATATTCAGAAATTTCTTTTGATAAGAATAATTTAATTTTTACTCTTTAATAGCCTTTTTGCAAATAAAAGATTTTATATTCAATTTGCTTATTTTAACAAGTTTTTTTTTGCTTTTAATTATTCGATTATTTTTAAAATTCTGATTTTTTATGTTTCATAGATATTTCTTAAAAAATGGCATCAAGACTTTTAAGGAGGTTATACTCTGATAAATTTTTAAAAATAATTTTTCTATTTTAGATTCTCTTCACCAATTATGATTATTCGTAACAAATCGAAAGAAGTTGCAAAAGACAAGAAAGATGAGAAAGTATATCAACTTTGGGAGTTCTTTGACAAACCTGATAATTGGGGTATGAAGGAATTGTCACTGTCTAGAAGGCCAGGACGATCTTGGTTTGGAATTTAAAAATATTGATGAAAATAAATGGGGCGACCTTTATCAGGAATTTCTGAACAGAAAATAAAAGAATTCATGGAAACATTCCAGAAATAAGAGATCTATCAATTGTTATATCAATAAAAAATTCAATCATTTCCTTTAATTTACACACTATCAACTACTATAAAATATTTTTATAGGACTGCCGATGAACTTCGTCTTAAAAGCAATTCTGATTTGCACAAACTTTGGTATGTCCTTTTGAAAGAGAGGAATATGCTTCTTACAATGCGAGAAGCATACAAGATTAGACATATGGAATTACCTAATCCTGAAAGGGTTGATCGAGTTAAAGAGGTTATTGATTATTTAAATCTTAAAAATTAATATTTATTTTTATAGAGTATGGACAATATTGAAGTTGTTGTGCATGAACGTAACGATGCATATTTAAAATTAGAAACTGGCAAAAGTGCCTCTCCACCCAAAAGAAAGATTACATCCTTTGCTGGTTTTACCTATGAAGTATCGGCAAATGAACATTATGGACAACCAGATGTGATTGGAGTCAAGAAGGAATATGAGGTTCCTATGCTAGACGATAAGGCCTATTTGTTTCAGGTTAATTCTAATAATTAAAAAATATTATAGAATCAAACATTAATTTGAAATGTTGTTGAATTTCTAGCAATATTTTTCAGATTCACTAAAAATTTTATTCCTACACAAATTTAGGTGAGAGGGAGATTTATTCAGTGTTTTGTTTATTTCGAAATTCAAATTGAAAATTTAACTTGTAAATTTAATGTATATTCTATTACAATAAGTAGTACTTTCTTGCACAAATTTATTATTCGAAAATTTTGGTGTATTATTCAACAAAATATATTTTTAGAAATTATGGAAAGAAAAGGAACACCTGAAAGAACAGATTCGACTTCAGGACGAATATTTGCTTGAGGATCCAGACAGATCTGAAAATCCTGAGTAAGAAATCTTTGCATACTCTCAAGTTTAAAATTAAAATATTTAGACTTTTGCGCGGACTTAGACGACATTTCGATCGTGTAGAAGATCTTCCAGAACAAGTAGTTGCTAGAAGAAGGAAAGAAAAGCAGAATGTTGATAAAATACAAGAAGAAAAGGCTAATTAAATAATTATTTTGTTTTTTTGTTTGATTTAATAAATTTATTTAGATTTTTTAGTTTACTTTCCGTGAAATTTTAAAGTTTTATTATATTTTATAGTTTTTATTTCGCCTTTTTTATTTGTAAGATTTAAAAAATTTAAATATTACAAATCAGGAAATTCTTTAAAAAATGGCTTCAACCTCTGCATTACCAGAAACAGCACCTCCCGTCGAGCAAATGATGGAAGAAATTTCTGCTGACACAGAGACTATTCAACTTGAACAAAGATTGGAATGTTTAAAAGATGTTGATTGGAAAGTTGCTGAATTAATGGCTATTGTTGCGGAAGTTTTGAACAGTTTGGAAAAGGACAAACCGGTAAAGCAATGAAAAAATTATTTAAAATTTTTCAGATTTCAAAGTCAAAAATGGAAGATTTGTACAAACGGTACGAAACGAAATTGGATGAAGTACAAAAAGGGGTTGGAGAGCAATTGACTTATATGTGGGTTTTTTTTGTAAAAAATTCAAAAGAGGTGAAAAACAAAATTGTTTTGACACCCTTACTAATTATTTAAGTGAGCAGTAAAATCCTATTTTTACTTGCTAAACAAGATCTTTTTTTAATCATTTAAGGGAGCAAGTCTGTGTTGGAGCTGAACATCAAGGATCTAATTTTCATGCAAAACAAGTTGCAGAATTAAGTGGGAAACGTTTACAATCCTTAAATAATCAATTAGAAAATATAAAAAATTTAATTAATTCTGAAAATGAAGAGGAAGAGGGAAATAAATTGGGAATTGAGGCAGAGCAGGATGATGAAAATATGGAAGAAGAGCTTTGATTTTTGGATTTGTATTTTGAAGATAAATTTGAAATTATGTAAGTAATAAATAAAATAGAGAGATCTGGGAGGGATTTTAGTGATTTTTTCTCTCGGCATCAGAAATTTCCTAAAATTTACAAATCAGGGTCTAAAAACAAATTTTTTCATTTATTTTTTTCATATTTAATATTGATTTTTGAATATCGAAAATAACCATTCATAAGAGGATTTAGACTAAAAAATGTTTTTTTGTTTTTATGAGTCTGAATTTAACATTTATAGTTTAGTAAAATTGTTTTAAATTTAAAAAATCCTCTTAAATTTCGAGAGTTACAATCGACCTATTTATTCTGTCAAAACTATTATTTCTAAATTATCACATGTGTACTTTTAAAAAATAAAAATTTATTGGCAAAGTATTTAGGGGGATGATTTTATGTATTTACATTCGTTGAAATGGGGATGAGATCCCGTTTTAGTAATTCAACTACGAAAAAAAATATTTTTATTTAGCCTAGTCAATCAATTTCTTCTGGACAATTTAGTTGTCCTCTGTTGATTTTTTCTTTAAAAATGAAAATATTTTAAAGAAATTGTTTTACTAAATACCTTGATCATTAAATAACATACAAACAAATATTGATAAAACAGTCAAAATTAGTTGGGCAATTAATTGGGGATTAAGCCATTTATGGTTTAATATAGCTCTTTCTATTATTCTGTCACATTTCTAGAAAGGAACTGAAGATTTTATTTTTGAAAAAAAGGATTCTTACCCACACATCCAGTCCTGAAAAATTAAAAGATAATTAATACTTAATTAAAAACGACAATTAATTTGGGATTATTCCAAGCTTATACTCCTAAATATTTCCTAATTTCTTAGGAAATATTATATTTTTTTACTAACAGAATTTAAATGAAAGGCACATTTCAATAAATAGTAGAGATTGATAGTATCCCAATTTAAAAATAATTATTTTTATTTTCCCTCACCTTCTTTATCTTCATCACTAACACAATTCAATTCCTCTTCAAAACTTGTTAAATAAGCTTCTTCTTTAATTGCACCATAAAAAAGATTGTGAAAGAGATTGTCAAATAAAGGGAATTCTACCCATTCTGTAATTAAACAAGCAGCCAGAAGGAAATTACATAAAAATAATAATGGTGTTAACATTTTAGCTATACTTGGTTGTCTTACACACTTTAAAAAATTAATTTGTAATTTAGAGTTAAAAATATTAGAATTTTTTTTGCACACAGAAAATGATTTTAATGTAGGGCAAAGAATTGAAAAAATAGAAATTTAATTTTTAAGTAAGCTTTTTGAAAAAAATTATATCGAAAAATGAGCAATTAATTAAGGGAGTACAGTCAAATCCCAGATCTCCTTATCGAGGAACCTTTCCATGGCGGAATTATATAACACGTGAAGGATTCAGATAATAACTTTCTTTATAGGCAATTACAAAGATATTTTACTAATTTTAAATAAAATCCTACCAAATCAACTTCTTCCTCAGCAGCTACTTCTACAGTGCAAAATTCAGGAATAATACAAAGCATTGAAATACTTATACCTACACAAGCAATTACCCAACTTACAGCTAACTGTGCTTGATACTTTGATATAAAAAATTAATAATTTAATTTAAGAGAATGTATTTTACCCTATCCAATTGTTGCCTGAAATTAAAAAAAATATTAAAAATAATTTTAAATTTGAATTTTGTTTTAAATCAAACACAGTCGGGCCTTAATAGCTAAACTCAAGAGAATTATTCACTATGAGCTAGGTATTGCCGGATATTGCTTAAACATCCCCCGTCACCTTATGTCCAACAAAATTTAAATAACGACATAAATTAATTTGTCAATAATAGCTGTAAACTAATTCGCTCCAACTGTACTACTCTACATTTAGAAAACTTACCTAGAAGTTTTATTCCAAGAAAATTCAAAGTCTCTATTTCTTGTATCATCAAACATTTGATAGGCAACTGGGAATATTCGAGTAGATAAAAGCCAAAATGCTTGATCTAATTAAATTTATTATTTTATTTTCTAATTTTCAAAAGTCAACTAACGAATTGCTAAAATAATTGTGAAAAAAAGTATTTGCATTCCACAAAGAATAAAAACTATGTTGCGCCTGTAAGGTGGCAAAATACGGAGAAAATACTTGCAGATGTTATTATCAGTCATTTTAAGCTGGTAAATTACTAACTACTCTAGATAGATATATTTGGATATATTAATAAAAATGTTTGTGTGTAGTAAGTATATTTTTTGTGTTTTTTATTTACAAAAATAATGAATAAATAATATTTCTATTTTTAAGATTGTTTAATCTTTAATTGTTTAACAAAAGTTTTTTGAAAATAAAAATATAAATACAAATATCAAAATAACTTTATGTTTGGCGGATTTGGATATCTGAATCCGAAAAAGACTGGACATTCGGAAACTTTAGTTCGGATATTGGATCTGGATATCCGAAAATTTCCCAGAATTCGCCTTTATTTGTTAGTATGAACATAACCCACCAACATTAAAAAATCCAAATTTTTTATATTTAAAAATTAAAGAGAGAGAATGAACTAATAAAAGAGAACTACATACTATTGTTTAATCTTTAATTGTTTAGTTGATTGACCCAATCAACTTTAGGGCTTACAATAAATAAATACATTTAAATAATATTAAAATGATTAAAATTTATCATTAATTACTAATTTTATCTTTTCTAATTTTTTAACAACAAAAGAAAAGAAAATACTAAAAAAGATAGGAGGGAGTGAAATAATAAATGAATATTAAATATTTAGATAAGAGAAAACGTTGCGTGGGAAGTATCATACAAAAATAAAAATTGATCGAATCTACATATGGGCGAATAAATATATTTTTTTATTTTAACTTTATAATCTAAAAAATTAAAAAAATATTTCTTAGAAAAAATATATTACAAAAAAAAATTTAAATAAAATCATAATTAAAAATAAATTAAAAAGAAATAAAATACTAAAATAAAATTTAAAATCAGAGCAAAAGTTTGAAGTGTTGAAAACCAATTTTATCCAAGAAAAATATTTAAATATTTGTTGCTCACGAAAAATTTTTGAAAGATTTCCTTTAATTTATAGGCATAGAAAACAGAAAAAAATTAAAAATAATCAGGCAAGGTAATCAAAGATTTATCTTCCTCCTTAATAAATAAAGAAATATTTAAATTAATTTATTTAAAAATCCTTTTTTTAAATTAATTTTATTAATAATTAACATAAATATTATAAATTTTATCTGAATTCCAGAAGTAAATATTTTTACAATAAAAACGAAAAAAAGAAAATGTAAATAAACGATAAATATTAGTTTGGGGAATTATTTGATTGTGCACAATATTCTCGAGAAATAGTGAGAGAGATTAAATTTATTGTCTAATTTTTATTTAAAAATTCGAAATAAATTGAAAATATGAAATTATTTTTTATTTAATTAAAAATTAGCAGAAATTAACAAAAATATTTATTAAAAGAAATATTACAAAATTTTCTTCTTTTTAACATGGATAATGTCGAAAAATTTAAATTAGGGTTTGACCCCGAACGTTCGGGGGCGGGTATGTCGGGGTACGGGGTTTTCGAAATGTTTCGGGGCGAGGTTCGGGTCGGGGGAG